AAGAGAGGGCTAGTGGGTGGTGGAAAGAGTTCTAGGGCCTGCCCTGTAGCCTGGAAGTTAGGGGAGCCCAATTCCACAAGGCCACCTGCAGGTCAAACCAAGCCTGGTAGCTTGAAAAACACTGGATGTACATGCGTGCCTGCCTCACATTGCAACGGGATGGAGAAATGAGAGGGGGTTATGGCATGAACATGCCCTGTTACAAAGCACTTTCTTCTCTCTCCCTCTCTTTCTTTTTGATGAGTGTACATACTGTCTGGCAATTAAAAAGAGAAAGAAGGCCAGCTAGTGACATGGTGGTTAAGGTGGCTAGATCCTACATGGCCAACTGCATGGTTCAAGTCCTGGACCCAATGGCTTAAGAAACACACCAGGTCTGTGTGCATGCATGCCCATAATCCTGAAAGGGTGGAGAGATGGAATGGAAGGGACTGCAATGTGATCATTCCCCATGGGGTGCATTCTTGATTTTCTTCTCTCTCTCTGTCTCTCTGTCTCTTTCCAGCAAGTATACACACTCTCTGTCAAATTTTAAAAAATAAATAAATATAAAAGAATAAAAAAAAAAACGAGACCAGCAGTTGGCATAATGGCTATGTCGTTAGTCTCCCGTGTAGTTGACCGTGGTTTGAGTCCTGGACCCGGTGACTTAAACTCAACGCCGACCATGTGTGCGTGCGTGCCCAAGATCCCGAGAGGAGAATGGAGAAGGGATTACAGCGTGGCCATCCCCCCTGAGGGTGATTTCTCGCTTTCTATCTCTGTCTCTGTCTTTCTGGTGAGTGCACGTGCCCTATAGCAAAAAATCCCTCCCCCCAAAAATATAAATAAATAAAATAAAAATAAAGCAGATGATCTTCCATCCTGTTGGCTAACCAGCCCAGCAAGAATTATTGTGGTTCTAGACAACCTACAGGGTCACCCTGAGGAGTAGATTTGACTCCTCAAGATAAAGCCCATTCCCTTACCCCAACGTTGATGTCACCGTTCCTTTTGTCGCAGGCTGTGCAACCTAATCTAAACCTGATCACAAAGCTAAGAGGATTTAAGCCGCAAAACTTTTTCTTAGAAAAGTAGCTTTGTAAAACCACATACATGCCTGAATGGTAAACATATGAAAGCTTTAACCAGTGGGTGGGTATGAGGACAAGGCACAAAGACAAGGCCACCAACTCTTGTGACTTCAGACCTTTCTGTTTAGGCCTCCCTGTGTCTTTTGTATCTAAAGGAAACAAGGCTCTGAAGATTAATTGGTACATTTCCAGATTGCTTTTGCAAGGTTTCTGACACTTTCAGATACTCTGCTCACACCCAGATGGCTCGCCATGGCCGTTTTGTTCAAATAAGATACAAACTATGCAGAACCACCTTCTCTGGCTCCCTTTGCAGGAGAGCACAGCGTGTGAACCCAGTGGCCCGTAGGCCACGCCCACTGCCTAGGGTCCGGGCTTCTCTGGCTCCTCCAGATCATGTCACAGCACCGTGTTCTCAGGGATTAGCAGCACAAGCTCCCTGAACGATGGTTCAAATCAATGCGCAGGCATCCGTTTTAATGAGCTGAGAGTGGGATAATACCATAGGTTTTGCAAGCTGCAGCTTCGCTTCAATTACCCCCCTCTGCAAATTTAAAATCAACCAGTGCTTCAGACAAAGGGGAATTTCATCAAATTCCTAGAACGATGACATGGTAGGTATATGCCTACAGACCGGGATGTGCTAACGTGGGTTTGTATCACACAAGCAGGTATCCATCAAAATTGATGTAACCATGGCGAAGCTGTCAAATGAGGGCTTCTGATGGGAAGAGCTGTGAAAGCACAAAGTGCTGGTGGATGCTAATGCTTTGTCACTGCTGGGAGAGCTGGGAGCCCTGCGGAGTGGGCGTGGATGTCCCTGCACTGGAGGGTTTACTCCTCGCTCACCCAGGCCAGCACGCCTGCAGTGTTGTCATCTGGCCACACAGCTTCTTCTTTGGTGAAGGAAGGGGGGGAGAACATCTTCAAGATCTCTCCGTGGAACCCAGATTCAGTTCAGCACGCATTCTCAGAGGCCTGCCAGCCACTGTGTAAGAGGTATAGAGCTGGGGTCTCAGGACATGGTCGCTGCCACCCGAGAGCTCACAAACTCCTAACTGCAATAACCAGGATGTACAGCACAGAGGCAAAGGGGGCTGATTTCAGCCGGGGCGTATGTGAGGCGGTTTGCAGAGTCCTGGATAAGCAGCGCTCCCTAGAGTAGGCCTGGGGTGTGACGGTATAGTCCAAACTTAAGTAGAGGCAGGAACACCCAGGGCTTGGGTTGCTGCAGCCTGCTGTGTGCAGTGCTGGCCCGGGAGGGGCAGAGTGGGAAAGACTCTGGGTGCCTCGCCTATCCAGAGTCAGATGTGATAGACACCTGATGGCTTTTCAGAAAAGGAGTGGTTAGATCAGTGATCTGAAAGGCAATTGGCTGGGACCAGCAGATGGCAAAGTGGTTACATTGCTGGACTCCCACGTAATCAACCAAGGTTCAAGTCCCAAACCTGGCGACTTAAAACTCACGCCAGGCATATGTGTATGCGTGCCCAAGATCCTAAGAAAATGGAGAAGTGCGGCCATCCCCCTGGGAGGGTGATGTCTTGTTTTCTGTCTCTCTGCCTCTCCAGCGAGCACAGGTGCCCTATAGCAAAAATCTCTCTTAAAAAAAAAAAAAAAGAAAGAAAGAAAGAAAAAGAGAAAGGCAACCGATTGTGATTCGTAGGATGACCTGGAAGAGAGACAATGAAATCAGCACAAGGTTCATGAGTCTTAGGAGGATTTCTAGGCTGGCCCCATGGCTTAGTGGTTAAGGGAGCAAGATCCCACTATGGCCTCCTATGGTTTAAACACCAATCCTGGAGGCTTAAAAACTATGTTGAGGGGCCAACAGATGGCATAGTGGTTACACCACTGGACTCCCACATGGCCAACCATGGTTCAAGTTCCAGATCCAGTGGCTTGAAAACCATGTCTGGTGTAAGTGCATACGTGCCCAAGATCCCAGGAGAATGGAGAAGGGATTGTGGTGTGGCCATCTGCCCTGAAGACTGATTTCTCACTTGCCCTCTCACTGTTTCTTCTGTCTCCCTCTCCAGTGAGTGCATGTGCCCTAAGGCAAAAATCCCTTTTTAAAAAACAACTACATTGAACATATGTGCATGTATGGCCCAAATCCTGACAGGATAGAGAAACAGAAATGAGATGTGACCACACCCCATGGGGGGTGCTTTCTCCCTCTCCTTTCTGTCTCTCTCTGGTGAGCATTACACCTTCTGGTAACAAAAAAGGAGAGAGAGAGAGAAAAATCAATTCCCATTAATTAGGGAATCCATTTGCTAGAACACCAGCATGAAACTCGAACACAGTTCATTTCAGATCCAGGGCTCTCTGGCTGCTTAGGACCCTCCGTGGGGTGTTCAGCTGTTCAAGTTTAAACAAGTCAAGTGCAGACAACTCCCCACCCAGCGCTCCCTAGGCTAACCCAGCTATCTGACTTCACGTTCGCTCTGCACTCCAAAATGGATCTTCCACCTTGCGGTTTTGATGAAAGGAAGCGTTTTATCAATTAAGTTTCAGGCGTTCATGCCAATGCCAGCCACCCTCAGGAGAGGGCTTCGAAGGGCACCAATGTGGCACGGAAACACCCAGAAGGGACGGTCTGCATTTTCCTCCTATGGGCCCCGATACTTCATCTAGAGCAGATAGCTCCAGGAGAGCTCCAAATTCATTTGCTTTACATGCAAACAAGTGTTTTCTTTCTAAAATCCAGAGGCTTATATCAGTTCAGCTCAAAGGCGACCGGGTACTGAGCTTTAAAATGGACTTGCTGTAATGAAAACGAATTATAAATTGTCCTTATGAAAGGCTGAGTGTCCTACCTACTCACATTCACAAACTGGAAGCAGTCTCTTTAAGCTCGATTTATGGTGCCGTATTAATGGGATGTTAAAAATAAAGTAGCCAGGCCACACAAAGCAATCTGTGACCTGCTAATGCTTCTCAAAATCACATCATGGCAGATGCAAAGAATTATTCCCCCAACAAGAACAGGATCCTGACTCAGGGCAATTTTCTGCATAGCCAGCATTTTTGGGTTTTGTGCTTTGTTTGTTTGTTTGTTTGTTTGTTTGTTTGTTTGTTTGTTTGTTTGTTTGTTTGTTTGTTTGTTTGTTTGTTTGTTTGTTTGTTTGTTTGTTTGTTTGTTTGTTTGTTTGTTTGTTTGTTTGTTTGTTTGTTTGTTTGTTTGTTTGTTTGTTTGTTTGTTTTTTGGTAGATGAATTAATGCCTGTCACACACAACTGTGAACTGCATTATTATACCTACATAATATATTGATATAAACTAGGTTTAGGAGTTCTCAAATTCTGGGACACACAAAGCCCAGCATTACCTAGTAAGTGACTTGTTAAGAATAATTTGTGGTAATTTTTTTTCATTCATAAGACCCACATTGAATGACAAATTGAAAGGGTTCATTTTCTTTAAACTTTCAGGTAACACTTTAAACATTTAGGTTTTTGTTACTGCTAAAGTTTGGGGATTTAAGTAAAGTCATAAGTTTCTGGAAACTGAAGTTATAACTTCACAAATTAAAACTGAGTTTATTTTATTATTTAGTATTATGAATAAACTCAAAGTGCTATGCTTAATTTTGGTCAGCCCTCTGGTCTTTGAACTGAAAGGAGGGGCCAGCAGATGGCATAATGGTTACGTCGCTGGACTCCCATGTAGTCGACTGAGGTTCGAGTCCTGGGCCCGGCAGCATAAAACTCACTCTGGGCGCATGTGCATGCATACCCCAGAGCCCAAGAATGGAGAAAGGATTGTGGCATGGCCAATCACCACTCCCCCCAGGGGGTATGATTTCTTGCTTTCCCTCTCTGTCTCCCTATAGCAAAAATCTAAAAAACAAAGAAGTAAAAGGAGGCAGAGAATCATAGTTCACACATAATAAATCAATCTCCAAATTATTAAAAAGGCATTTTATTATAAATACATTTTAGTTGTAGCAGTAAAATACATTTTGTGTTACCATGAATCTTTTAAAACAAAAGAACTTCACTTAGACAATGATCATACTGTAGGAACTGTAGACCCCCAAGTTGAAAACTTGTTCTAAGAAACCAATGTAGCTAAAGTAATTCCAAAACTAAGTTAGAAAAGAAGAGACGAAGACAAAGAAAGAAAAGTATAAACCCTACAGAGTGGCTTTGGGGTTATTTTATAGTACACAGTCATTTTTACTTTTAAGGATAAACTCTTTAGGTATTAGAGCCTCTTAAATGAGGTATCATTGACTGCAAAAAAAAAAAATTATTTTGCTATAATTGCCCCATAAATTATGCTTAACTAGATGGCTGCACAATTGAGATTCAGAGAGATGGAAAAGAACCACTTCAGTTTCTTACAGCCTCCCTGTGGAAGACTTTCCAAGATAAGGCCCAGTACGATTTTGCTACGTAACAGATCCTGTAAGTTCGCTGAACAAGTTTAGGTAAGAGTTGTATTGTTGAAGCATTGAAAAAAATCCTGTGTTACTATAACAGGACCCTTTAATAAAATGCAAAACTCATCACCTTTATAATTTAGAGGAGAAGTGTTTTAACCACCGTCTTTGCCCAGGATACAACTACTACATATAACAAGTACCTTCGTAGGTTTCAAAAAAGTCAGGTAGATGACTGGCACAGGAATCAGGTACAGTATGGTGTCACGTACACGCATTTGTGGGAAGCAGACAGGACCCTTGCTCTGTATGGGGTGGGAGTGGGTGGGCGAGAAACATCTCAGGTGTAACCGACACTCTGAGACTTTAACCTGGACAGAAGAGCCCTCTGACCTACAGAGAGGTATGAAGAGGTCCCCGCAGAGAGGGTATCGCGCAAAGCGAAGTGTAAATAAAGCAAAGCTTCCTCTGAGTGGGGACTGCATAAAGGAACCTGGGCCGAACACACACGGTCATCACCAAAGGTCCGCCAGCCTTTTAGGTAGTACTGGGTCTTAAGGATCCCAAAGCTGTGCGTTCCGTGGCGGTTCTCATGTGTACTGAACACCTAAGGTGCTCTATATTCGATGACCTTAAAAATATTTTTTTTTTCCTTTCTAGTATCTCAGTAAATTCAAAACCAAACTAAAAGCCAGAAGCAGAGCCCAATGCTCCCCATGGTGCAGTCAGGATAAATAGCAAAACAAGAACAACGATACATAAATTTGAAGATACCCAAAGATCTATCAGGTTTGTTATATTATAGGCAGTTTCTTTCTCAGAAATAACTTGCTCATACATGTGCACTTATGACTTAGGAATAATTCATGCTGTGTAGGTGGTAGACTCTCCTAGACTGTTTTGCAAACATATAGATTTTTTTTTTTAAAGGTAGCAAAGTAATTGGAGACAATGATTTCTTCTCTGTTGTATACAACACTTCAGGCTCTCCCTAACACCTGCTGGCTTAGAAGAGCATCCAAAATAACTTTGTTAACCTGAGAAACACATAATTTGAAAAGCAAATCCTTTACCCTCACCACTCCCTCTCCCCACCCCACCCCACTCCCTCCCCCCCAAAAAAACACCATAAAATCTACAGAATACATTTGGGGATTATATATTGTTTTCGATGCTCCATGTCACTGCCATCTTAGGGCTGGGACTCCTGTACCTAGTGTCTCGATAAATACAAGGTGCATTCTCGTGACATTCTGATGGCTTCTTTCCACCATTCTCATCTCCATGCATACGGATCATCAAGACTGACTCTAAGCACACCAAACAAATGCACAGCTTCCAGGCCAAAGCCCAGGCAGCGGAGTACACAAAACCAAATTCACCCTAGAAACCAAAGAGTTCCTTCACCCCCGGGTGGAAGAGCAGTCCAGAACCCACAGGGTGTGGGGGAGGGCGGCACAGCAACCCAAAGGCCTCAACCTTCCCTCTGGATCTTTCTCCATGAATGTTCACTCATGGCATCAGAATTCTACACGTCTCAAGAGATGAGGTGTTTTTTTTTTTTTTTTCTTTTTTCTCCATATTGAGTAAATAAAACCCGTGGTTGGAAAGACCTTCAGTCTGTCTCTAGACCAGCAATTCTCCAGGTGCGGTTTCTGGGCCAGTGGCATCAGCACTGTCTGGACACAAATGCAAATATTCAGCTGCAGCCCAGAATCAGACCCTCTCGGGTCGGGGTCCAGTAATCGGTATTTTAACAAGACCTCGAGGTAATTCTGACGCCAGCTCAAGTTTGAGAACCACCGCCCATTCTGTTTTCAATTCTAAACCCTTACAACAGGACGGACGTCTAAACAGATCTATGGGGTGACTTCTACTCTGTTCAAACCTCTGTCATTTGCCACCCTCTCCCCTTCTCAAACATTATAAAAAGTATTAATAAAAACAATCATGTCATAAAATCAAAAAACTTTTAAAAAGGTAATATTGATTTCCCCTCCCATACATAGTTCGAAGGCAGGCAATCACATGCTAGTATGCAAAATAAAATACAGAAGAGACCTCGTCTATGAGGTAGAAATAGCTAAGAAGACTCCCCAAGAACATAATGAAAATTTCATAATATTGTTTAATGAACTCATAGAATTATATAAAACTTACTATGCTTTATGCTTAATATTTGTATCAAAATAAAATCTCTCTGTTGAACAAATTGCAAATAAAGTCTGGTCTAATACTCTTGATTACTGAAACTATAAGTATATGAACTTCTCTGGGTTTTCTTAACACTCCAGTTTGAGAAGCTTTCAACTACCTCTGTATAACTGGGTTTGGGTTATAACCACAGTTCCCATTTCTAAGTCTAGATTCTTCTATTAGGTACCTCCCTTCAAAAAAACATTTTAGAAACTCTGGTGACTATTTCATTAAAGTTCATACCAAAGTAGATACTTTTAACCAGTTCCAAAAAATGGAAACGTTCCATTAAAACGGTTTTTAAATCTTTGAAATCTGAAGGTCTAATTTAAAGTAACAACATAATGCCATTTTCTGCATGCGATTTGTAAGAACGTTATACGGAAGGTTCACTTCCTTGCAACGACAGTCTTGAAACTGCTAATTAAGCAGGTGTGAAAGCAGTAAATGTGACGGCAGCAGCTTCACAGTAAAGTCTCAGCAATAAATGTCCAACCGCAAGGGGACAGGAAATGTGAGCAGCCTGTATCCTCATGAGCACTTCGCAGACCAGCATGCCACTTACTCTCTGGAGGACTCTCTCTACAATAGGTGATGGACACTAAGTGGTCATTTGAACAGTAGACCTAGCCAGAACGGTACCCACTTTTTCTCATTTCTAGGTGGTCTGCATGTGGATCAGACGGCAAGGAGGACCAATCAGATCCATGAAGACATTTACCTTGAAGATGGAGGAAGACATAGACAGTGGTGTGGAAACGGAAGATTTTCATGTGTTAAGAGGGCAGATGGTAAGAAATGATGTCTGGTAAATCATAAAAGAGAAATTACTACCTCTAAGGAGCTAGGGGAAAAAAAGGATGGCTAGGCTAAGTAACATTTAAAGCAGCAATTTGTATCTTTTGATACATTTAAAGTTTTAACCTTCTGTTTTTATAGACTTTTACTGGAATTCCCTTTTTAAAATCAACTCCACTATGAAAAATGCTCGACCAGGTGTCTCTTTTTAAGCAACTATTGATATATTTCAGTAAATCTAATTTTCTTAATGACAACAGTTGAAATACTAAAATTTATCTTGTAATTGTTTTTCATACCCTGACTCTTAGCCAAGGTGGTTAGAAATACATTCTTTTATAACTTTGCTTTTGCGATAAAAAACATTAAGCATATAAAACCATCTACACTAGAGCAACACGACACTAAATATTTTCTCAAAGTCAGGAAATTCAGATAGCTTTCTCAGCAACTTCAATGCCTCCGTAACAAGGAAACTATTCTCACAAATAGGTCTTGGCGATCACTGTGTTTAATTAGGTAATGCCTATTCGGTGGGAATTCTGCTTATTTTACTTATTCTGCCATTCTCTGAACTGAAAAGACCACTGATGTTTACTTATACTGAACCTGAACTTATTCTACAATCTCTGATTGAAAAAACAAACCGACACATAAAGCAGTTTGTTATGTTATGTATATAAAATTACCTGGACAAAAGGCAGACCTGTGAGCAAAGGAAACTTAAGGTCAACTGGTCAGTAATTAACTCCAGATTCATCAAACACAAAGCTGTCCTCTAACGATTTGGCAAAGGTATACCAAAACGACAGCCAAAACGCCTTTTAAAAACACCAGAAAACATCCATATTACACTGAATGAGGTCCTTCAAATCTTAATAAAAATTATTTTTTAGATGAGGGAAAAAAATGCAGCATGAGTGCTATACAAACTCTATCACCCAGAAGATTTTTTAAAATTAAAAAAAAGAAAAATAAACCTCAAGTAGCACTGAAATTAAAAGTGAAATGAATAAAAAATAGTCTGTCACGAAGAAGGAAACTTCAGAGTGATATTAAGAACAAAGAAGTAGAAAGACGACATGAAAAATAAACCTCAGGAAAAAAATAATCTCTACTGGAAATAAAAGGAAGTTAGTAATACTTGGTATGAGAGCTATCGTCAAGTTTTCTAAAAATAATATACACACGCACGTGTATTTATAGTTTACACATGTGTGTATATATTTTCATACATACATATATATGTTCCATCTGAGCTCTAAGGTTGAAAATAAGTTATGTTTCACAAGTCTCATTTATAGGTACTTGCTAATTCTACCTAAGTAATTACCAAAGGGCACCTGCTGTAGTCAGAAGCCCTGCCTCATTTCAATGGAAACTTGGCAATGATTCTTACAGTAAGACTTGCTCAAAATCGTTGTAAGATACTATGCATAAATAACAGGTTCTTTCAAGCGTGGAAAGATGACAATTAAGAAATGCTGAGAAAGAGTATAAGCTTGTTAGAGGTTAAAAGAAGCCTTCCAGCCAGAATCCAGAAAGAGTTATCAGATGGAAACCACACTCCACCCCTTGACTGGCTGGAAAAACAACAAGGAAACGAGGAACACTTAGACGCTATGGCAGAGCAGTGGACTAGTAAGTAGCTACTATTTCTAGTTTTTTTTTTAGAAATAACTGCTTCGAATGAGGATGTCCTGACAACTTCACAGCATCCTTACCCAAAGCTTCCATCATCAATACACTTACAGGAGGTGGTGGGGTGTGCAGATTACTTTCTTAACTAAATATAAATAGAAATAATTTAAAAAACTGCTATTTTCTTTTAAAGGTTCAAGTATGGAAAGAGAAAGTCGGGTGACAAGGGGTTAACCGAAAGCCCCTGAAAGACACTATAATTCTGTCTTCATATTATCAAAACGCTCTTGAACATGTGTCTAGCTGGTGTTCTAGTCCTGCATATATGGGGGAGAAGAGATCATCGTCGATGAGAAAATTATTTTTCACAGATATCCTCACATCGAGGAGACCCAATTTTCACCTGGACTACGTCTTGAGTTCGGTCGTAAGGCTGGACACACATAGGTATATGGCAAGCATTTTTCCTTTCCTTCTGACTAAAGCAGGCTGAGCGCCATCGGCCATGGTGAGAGGCGGTGATCGGACACGGCGCAGAGAAAGCGAAGTGCTGTGGCCTGCTGGCTCAGTTTTCCAACTGTGATTTATACGAACCACGAACACGTCTGCAGTCTGCAGGCCTGCGTCTGCCACCTCACGGGAGCCCACAGCCTGTGGCAGGAAGCCACGCACAAGCGGGGTACACGCGGAGCAGGGGGAAGGGGATCTAAGAGGCGCGCTCCATTTGTGCCCTGGCTTCTCACCTTTACCCTAAGGCACCGTCCAGCCCAGACTGTCTGCGCCTTACAGGGGGCGGGGCCGGCGCACGTACACTAAACTCCAGCCATGTGCGAAATGGAAGTAGTGTTTCTTCATCCTTGCCACTTCCAGTCTGGTTTCCAAAATGTACTGTGGATACAGGATGGCCTGTCAAAAGTAGTAGTCTTCTAAAAAAAACATTTTGAATAGATCATCGGGAAGGCTGGGTTCATGTGAAAGGTTCCTCAGCCTTGTCTTACTAAAATGGTTTTTTTAAATGTTAGATAGTAGTTTCCAGATCTCTCTGAAACAGAAAAGTAGAACTACTAGATTGGGAAAATAATGACATGCATGACTTCAACTGTGTGACAAGATCGCAAGTTTTTAAGAGGGTAAACATTTTCCTTTGGTTTTTTACCAAAGTTCATTCAAAACAATTGTTAGACTGTAGACTATTTAAGATAGCTATTTAAATTTTCTATTTTTGTACAAGTTCAATAGGAGTATTTTAGAAGAATCGAAAGACATGAAAAACAAGGGTAGTTTTCTGCCCCAGATTTTGATGAATTTTGATATATTTTTGACAAACACTATATTTCTTCTTTAGTGATGTTCCTCAAACAAAAGAGCTAGCAAAATATTTGAATTGCCATGTATAATGTCACATTTTAATGTAAACATCAAATAAGGTACCAAAATTTTTACTGGAGGAAAATAAAAAAACAAACCTTAAAGCGGCACAATTCTTTATACCACTGGAGAAGTGGGGAAAACCAGGTTACAAACATTTACACATGCATAGTGAGAAAAAAAGGATTTTACTAAATTCACTCATTTTTAAAATAGTTATCAAGTCTACTAAGCACCAACAATCCTAAAAATTTTTCAGCTTCATGATTTGTTTAAAAAAAAAACACACACTATCAAATTAACATTAAAAACAACTCGAAGTGTAGCTTGTCAAAAAAAAAAAAAACTAAGTATGCCACTGTTTTTTTTTTTTTCGTGTTTCAAAAAACAGCGGCATACGAAATACACCTGCAAAGAATGCCTTTAACTCTATCCTACGGCGGATGGAGATCACACAGCACATCATACAGAGTCTGAAACTATAAAAGTTTTACAATGCAGCATCCTGTCACAAAAAAAAAGGTGATAAAACTTAAAAGTATTTAGAAGATGCTGCCCCTTTATTTTAAAAAATTTTAAATGAATTTAAGCAAAAATAACATACATTTGTACATCAACTGGCCATTTCTGGTACAGAAACCCAGCATATGGTAATATTATTGAATAAATGTAAATGCTACTTACAAGGTTTTTTTTTAAATACATTTTAGACAAACTTTTTTCTTTTCTTTTTTTTTTATAGTTGCACAATTAACCTCTTAGCTGCTAGCTTGATGCAAACATATGTGACAATACACAAATTTAAAAATATTTTTTATTCTACATAAAAGCTGTCAAAATTCTGACTCACATCAAAAATGCAAAATAATGGAATATACTTTTAGAAAATTAGTTGCAAGTCTAGCAGCAAAGCAATTAAGTGGAACATATTTAATAGTAAAACAAAGGGAACTGTGCATCTATAGATGAAGTCCAGCTATCTTAATTCTACTGATACAAATTAAAACATTCTCCCTTGAGGAAAAAAAAAAAGTGATTATTTAAAATAGGAGTAAAAGCCGTTGCTGCCCGATGAACTACCCAGGCTGAGCTCCTGGAACAGAGACAGAGGGTCGCTACTCTTCTTGGCCTGCTCGGGCGGGGGCCTGGGCTTGGGAGGGGCCCGCAGGGCGCTGGCGTACGACATGGCGGGTTTACTGGCTCCCGAGCTCTGCTGGCTGCTGTTGTTGGCCGACTCTGCAATCTGCTTGTTGGGCATGAGGGGTGGGAACTGGCCGAGATGCTGCAGCACGTTATAGTTGAAGGAACTGGAGACCTCGAGGTTTTCAGACTTCAGTTGATCCTCAGGGGGTTTGACAGTCTTGGGCGGAGCTGAAGGCAGAGGAGTGACACCGGTATCAGAACCAACCCTGCCACGTTCATGCATCACAGTAACCCAATGTGTCCCAAATGGTTCTTGTCTGGAGGAACTCAGCGACAGCACGGCCACAAGGATGGACAACTCCTGACACGGAATGGTGAAATGACAGCAGTCTAACCAAACATGCCCGTGTTATTAACACACAGGGCAACCACCCAAACTGGAATAGCTAACATATAAAAAAGAAAGGTCAAATCTGAAGGCTTGTGGGTCCAGCAGGTGGCTTGGTGGTTAAGGCGCTGGACTCCCCACGGCTGACCACAGTTCAAGTCCTGGACCTTGCTTTCTCACTTTCTCTTTCTCTCTCTCTCTTTTTCTCTGGTCAAAATAAAAAATAGTAATAATAAATAAAATGAATGATTATTAAAAAAAATTTGAAGGCCTGCTCAAAAATGAAAAACTAATCTGTATGATGGCAGACTTTGGTATTTATTAGAATAACTTGCTCACGGTTGGTAAATTGGAAGCTGTATGTACAGGTTCCTGGTCAAAATTACTTTCATTATTAATGGTAATATCAGATTCCATTTGGTGAAAGTCCTCCACTACCTTATAACATACGTCGGGTAAACCTGCAGTAAGGCAGGGAAAATTAAGGGCCAAAAATTCATCACATTTACTTTATAATCTGTTGATAATTTTTTTCTTTTTTTGGAGAACTTTTTTTGCTATAGGGCGCATGCACTCGCCAGAAAGACAGAGAGAGACAGAGACAGAAAGCGAGAAATCACCCCCCAGGGGGGATGACCACGCCACAGTCCCTTCTCCTCCATTCTCCTCTCGGGATCTTGGGCACGCACGCACACGCGCCTGGTGTGAGTTTAAACCACCGGGTCTGGGACTCATGTAGTGCTCAACTACATGGGAGTCGAGTGACACAGCCATTACACCAACTGCTGGTCCCTATAATCTGTTGATTTTTAAGGTTCTTTAAAACGTGACTCCACCCCTAAGGAATGTTAGTCTTCACTAAATGATGGCTTGTTTTCAAGTGTGGATTTTGCTTCCAACATGATATATATTCACTGAGGACAACTGGAAATTACAGAAAAGTCCACCAAGAAAATTAGTCATTCGCATTTCCAAATACCAGAGATAAACCTTAACTAGTTGGTGTAGTTTTTCCTAAAGACTTCATTTACTATAGAACATTTCGTAACTTATTTAATGATCATTTGTTTTTAGAAATTCTGATTATAGCTGATACTTCATTTTTATAGATGGTGATACATGTTACTATAGATAGGTATTTCTAAATTTTCAGACCTATTTCCTTAGGGAGAATTCCTAGAAATGTAATGGCGGGCTCACATGGTCCATACCTAAGTAGCCTGGGCTCCCTGCAGACAAGCTGGCCGGAAGGGGGCACTGCCCTGTTACTCTCCGCCAGCAGAGTGCGCCTCGTTCCCGCCCAGCTGCAACACTGTGTCCTTACTTCAACCTTACCCTGTTTTCTATCAAGTTTATCTTGTAGTCTTAACTTGCATCTCTGTGATTGCTAGTGTGTATGGACATTTTTTCCTTATGCTTATGGGCCATTTGTGAACTGTCTTTGTCCGTTATTCTATTGGACAGTCTATTCTAAGGTTTAGTTTTTTTCATTATTATTCTGTAAGAGCTTTTTTATAGTAACTGCATATCTTATGATTTCCCTTTTGATCTTATTTGTGATGCTTCTACTTTGCTAACAAATGTTTTAGATTTTTTAAAAGTAAATCTATGAACTAGTTCCTTTATGGAACCAGGTAAGTATTTACTATTTTTTCCCCTGGATCTTTTACAGTTTCCTGTTTTCAATAAAAATCCTATGATCTATCTACAATTTGCTTCAGTATATGCCATAAGGTAAAGGTACAATTGTTTCTTTTTCCCTTGGTTAGAAAATTGAACCAACGACATTTACTGAAAAACCCACCCTTCTTGTGCTCATTGTGCTTTTATTATACACAAATTCTATTTAAATCTGTAACTGGACTTTCTACTCTTCTATTCCGTGAAACCACACGTCTAGTCCTGTATGAGTACTGTTTACATTTTGTAGCTCAATAGTGAATTATATTATCTGCTATTCGAAGACCTTCTTTATGATTTTCCTTCTTTGCTTCTCTTCAAATAAATAAATTCTAGATATTCTCTCTCACCAGGCCTTCCCCATCGTGAAACGGGCTGGCGAATCATGCCCGTTCCTATTTCTCGGCTTTCTCCCAGGTTGCTTCTCTTTTCTGAATCTGCCTGTTCAATAGCAGACACTTGCCGCGGCCTAGCGGGTATGTACTGAGCATGCGCACGCAGGCAGTGCGGCGCGGCCCGCGGCCAGTACCCGCTGGTGAGCGTGGCCCTTCGTGAGACTCCAGCTTCCCCCTGGGGTAACGTACAGGCCCAGGGCGTGGCTAAACAACAGTGGCAGGGGCGCGATGAATACTGGTGGGTAGGAAGGGAGTTCTGAGAGAACGGAGAGGGAATTTTCACAGGTGAAAATGAAACTTGGGATGTATCTGGATGGACAAGGTTTAAACGGGCCGTCAAGACCAGGAGGGCCTCGCGGGGACTGGTAACGACTCCTGCTTCCATTCTTGACCTTCTCCCTTTCTTTTAGTAACTGAAAACCTCATCCACTGCACATTTAGCACTCTATTTTCTATCACTTAAAATTGGCACTGCTTTATGTGTGTTCATCTTCTTTCCTAAACTAGACAGCTCCGGGGGAGAGGACACGCTATCCTTTCACGGAATCCTAAGAGAGTGGCACTATACTCACTGATGACCGAGGGCTGGTGGGCTAGACCGTTTCCTCTGTCCTGGCAATGATGTCTTAGACAAGGTGCCCACTCGCTGCAGTGGATTATCCTTGATTCAAACTGGGTATATTCCTTCTCCCAGAAGTGTGTGTGTGGGTGTGTGTGTGTGTGATTGAGACTGTTAGCTAAATTATATGGAATCAAGGTACTACAGCACCTTAAAGCCACTTAACAAAACGTGGAGGACCACAAGAATCAGAAGAACCAGAAGACTAACCTACAAAGCAAAGCAGAAAAAGGGAGCAGGCACAGGCAAGCTGTGTTACAGTAACCACGTCTAGTATCCGAGTGCTTCCTAGAGGCCAGGCACTCTGTACTATGGGTGTGACGAGGACTACCGTGTATGCACCCACCAGCAAGCTACCTAGTTCCTGTGTCCATCTGGCCTCCCTGTACCTTATTTCTAGGAATTTTCTTTAACTTGAGCTAGTTTGGGCCAGTTGCTATTTTTCACAATCAGGAGTAGCTTACGACAATTACCAAATAAAGATAAATCAGATTATTTCCCTCTTTTTGATCTTTTTATCTTCAGATATTTAGTAAGGTTGCTCGATTCTTGATTTCAAGTAAAAAAAAATAGTAACCATAAGAAACCCTGGTAATATTTCTTTTAAACCCAAAATATGGGACCAGCAATTAGCGTAATGTCTATGTCACTGGACTCTCACGTAGTCGACCACGGTTCGAGTCCCGGACCTGGTGTCTTAAAACTCACGCCGGGCGCGTGTGCGTGCGTGCCCAAGATCCTGAGAGGAGAATGGAGGAGAACGGATTGTGGCGTGACCATCCCCCCTGGGGGGTGATTTCTTGCTTTCTGTCTCTATGTCTCTCTCTGTCTGGCGAGCACATGCACCCTGTAGCGAAAACCTCTCTTAAAAAAAAAAAAATACAGTGACTTATTTTCTTTTTTCTTTTTTTTTTGAGAGGTTTTC